TAAACGTCTTTAAACTATTCCGATTCCTCCATTGATGCATGTCACCTGAAGTCTTCGTGAGTCTTGAAATATGCGATTTTCTTCATCGATACGAGGTTTTCTACGCTCTGCTGACATTGCTACAGAAAAATAGAATCCAAACTTTAATTCCCAAATCCACACGGTCGCTTGGTATGGAGTCACGGCTTGACTGTTAATCCCAGTCCTTGTGGAATGAACCGGTTTCGACAACATTAACCCTGCGTGTTTGTCCTTTGAGAGACGGATGACATACAGTGCAAGCCCTACGGACGAGGCTGGTACAATAAAGTCCAGGGTTTCGCTCCTATTCTCCTATTCTCCCTTCACCCCTTCCTGATGGGATTGTAGAAATAGATAGGGATGACAGAAGGTGCCATGAAATGTTATACATTATCTTGATGCGAATCTCCTACTGCGGTATATTTGCAATGTCGTGGCTACCATTGGGAGGAATCTGAAAGCATGAATTTATCAGAGAAATTTGTGCGTGAAAAAAAATGCAAAGAAGCTCTTTGGAATGATGCGTACAACGCATATTTTCAGCAGAATCTGGCAGTCCTGCGGTTTCTCTCGCCCTCATAAATGGCGCTGGATATCAAGTCCAATTAAGCGCCTCATGGTTACCCTCGATAAAAGTGTCAGGATGATTCCATATCCGAGAATTTTGGCCAGGAATATACTGTACTGTACTTACCCGCGAGAGAATTGAAACCTAGTCTGGACATACTTCGTTCATTCCGCAGCACATAAAAGCATTCATTCATTTACATCATCATAACAAATTTAATTTTTTCCAAAACTCCTCGCGGGCCGCACAAAAGCCCTTGGAGGGCCGTACTTTGGACACCCCTGTTCAAGACAGATCAGAGGCTGATGGTTTTGATAGGGACGAGAGCGAAGACGAGCGATTGCTACAGATAAAGGTTCTGAGCTGGAAACACGGGCGGTGTCGAAAGTTCTGATAGCTAGTTTCACCTGTACTGGGCATTAAACACCTTTTTCTCCCCATTACAAAGAATACGACACGATGGAGGAAAGCAGTGTTTTATCCTTTCATTTCAGGAATCAATTAATTGTATTTGGTCCCCCCGACTGCCTTACGGCTCTTATTGTGTCGAACACCGCATAAACGTCTTCATAACTCTTGTTCCAGTTCTCCCAAACCCATTCCTTTGACCTTCCAATCTTTCTTGCGATCCAGCTCTTGATGTTGATAGAGTTAATGCGGTTCTATAACATAATGTCGAAAGCCACAATGTCGTCAGATTTTATGTCGAATGGACAATGGTCGAATGAGCATAATGTTGATTGTTACAATACCGAAAGCGTCAAAATGTGGAAAAACTTCGAATCCTCAAAATGTCGAAATCCGGTAATTCTTTTCCGTTCCTTGGGTCCTGATATAATCAAGGTGAGGAGATTGCTTCTTTCCTCTCTGCTCTCTTGAGGCAGCGAAGACTGCTTTGTCACCTTATCATCTGTCTGCATCAGTAAGCGTTGGCGGAGTTGATTACATCAGTAACAAGCGCACTTCCACGCAAATGTGCCAGTCGAATTGGGACTGTAACCAAGACCACCATGGAATACGTGAATTCTCAGAAAGGTGGCAGATTATTAGTTGTTCATGGGTACTTATTCAAGCGTGAAAAGTGTACAAAGGAGAAAGTGTATTGGAATTGCCAAAACCGGAGTTGCCCTGCCCATGCCGTTGTGCCCATGTTGTGTAGACGAACTTGTAAAGGAACCTTGAGGCAACAGGATTCGGTCATGCAATTGTACACGTTGCACGCTGAAGTGAACGGCACTATTTTCCCTCTTATGTATGGCTTGTTGAATGCATAAGATGCGCAGTGTTACTCCATCATGTTGCAGGGCATATGTGACGCATTTCAGAGATTCCACTTTGTTCCGAAGCTGCAGTTCATCACAACAAACTATGAGAGCGGAATTTTGTCAGCAGTATCCCAAGTATTTCCTCATATGAAACACAACACTTTCTTCTTCCATTTTGCACAAAGCATTTGGAGAAAATTTCAAAGTACAGGGTTAGTCTCTGAATATGCAGATAACGTAGAGTTTGCTTTAGCTGTGCGTATGTTGACGGCTTTGGCGTTCGTGCCAGAAGGTGAGGTACATGCTACATTCGAAGGTCTCCTGACCTGCATGCCAACAGCAGCAGCCCCAATCATTGCATATTTTAGAGAATATTATGTCGATGTCCGCAGAAGCAGAGGTCGACCTCGTAGCGGCCCTGTTTTCCATCCTAGATTGTGGAATGTGAGGGAACGAGTCCTCAGGGGAGAACCACGTACGGCCAACGCTCTCTAGAAGGATGGCACCACCGATTCAATCGCATTGTAGGCAAGGCCCATCCCAAGATATATGAATTTCTAGGAGTCTAGCAGATAGAGGAATGTTTTCAAGCGCGAGAGATGGAAAAAATCTTGTCAGGGTATCCCGCGCGAAAGCTGAAGAAAAAAGAATCAAGGGAAAAACGCATTCATAAAATTGTTTCTTCTTACTCCGACCGCGAAGTGCGTGATTACTCGCGTGCAGTGGCACATAATGTTCAGTTTTGAATGCCGAATGTCAGTAGTTATCACATCTATAACCGCTAATTAGTTTGCTTTTCTTTCTCGACCAAGTGCAAATGTTCGGCATGACGAGTTTTTATGACTTCATTGACAGAATAAATAAAAGTCCATTTCGACTTTTCTCTCTTTCGACATTTTGACTTTCAACATTTCATTCCTTCGACGTTCAGGATTCGACATAATAGGTAATCGACAATCGGACAGTCGACGTGTGTTTTTCGACATTTTGACGGGATACGGTTAATGCCTAGTCTCGTGCCTCACGGAAGGCAATATCGCGAAATCTACCTCGTGCCCTGGTCCGTTCACGAACACCGGTCTTTCCAGCCGTAACTCTTCGAGATCTGAAAATACAGACTTAAATCCTTTGTTGAACAAGGAATTCAAAGGTACTACTCTTTTACTATAAAAGATGTAAAAAATATTTCCACAAAGATTTCAACCCCCCCCCCCCCCCCTTGCTGGACATTGCATGGCTGAATGCACTCATACTCTATCAGGAAAAAGATGAAACCATGAAGAAACTGGAGTCCCGGATAACTTTATTGAGAATCTGAAAGTATGTCATCGTGCAAGAAATCCCACCCAGAAGACACTCCAAGTCACTGCGGCTCTCGCACCTACTTGAGAGGCATTTTCCGTCTACCAACAAGTGTACAACTAGAAGGCGATACCTAGTGCACGATGCAAGCCGTGCAGCCAGTCTATTGGGACTGATGGAAATAATCCAACATTATCGACGAAAGAGGACCTCTGGACTTACTCTATTATAATCACGAACCAGTGTCTAAATATAATATAACATTAGGAAAATGCGCGGTTCAAAAATAGTTTCTTTGATAATGGAGTATTTTCCCTGAAAATAAAGCTACATTATCGGATAGTGCTCTGTTCAAAAATCCACCCTAGATGTTGACTCTTCTCCCTTCTGGGGGGGGGGGGGGGGGGGGGGCGTTGGGAGTCAGGGTGTTGCACAGGGTGCCGAAATGGCTAGGCTAGGGTCGGCCCAACAGACGACCCTAATGTAAACAGTTTTCCTGTGTCCCAACTAACAAAAAATACAACTTATTATTATTATTATCATAAATATCAGAATTATTTGAAATGACAACCCCCCAGAACTCAGATAATGAAGGCAGATGAATGAATGACGTGTCTTTTCTCTGGTAAATTAGTCTAATACCGCCTTTCATTAGTTCAAGAATTCAGTAAACTTCGATCAATAACTTTTTAAAATTCTAGGCACAGATATGATTCTTTCAAAAAAGATACATCATTCCAATTTGAGATAGGAAGTGATACTCTGATATACTTACTGCAGAGGATTTTTAAAATTGTCTTAAGCAAATTTCCCTCTGAAGCGTTAAAGAATACATTAGGAACCGGAATTTCATGCTAGTATGTATTCATAAATTTCCGTTGCTTCAAAACAAATATACAACTAATATCTTGGGGCCTGATTTCTATTTTCTGACACGCTTTTCCGTTTCACTTATTTGCCTCAAGAGTTGGCAAAGGCGTTCCAGCATGAAAATCCGGTCCCTAAATATAATACTCATTGGAAACCACAACTAAATCGATTTATAATCACGCAAGAAAAGTTGGAGTTAGCCCGTTAAGTTCTCTTGGGATACTCATGAAAGGAAAGTTTCCCCTGCGTCCAGGTAACGATCGGCTCTCCGGAAGGACTCTCCGGAAAGCAGTATCCCCTCCCTTCTTGGCAAAGACGTTTCACAGTTCTCAGAGTTCGCGCCGGGGAGGATTGCATTGGATTTACGATTCGGTGTGTATATGGTTTCCTACTTGGTCGTTTACAAATGTAAGGGGAAGGGTGACTGGATTTTCTAATCTTCTAAGAAAGTATAGGGCTGTATATATTATCCACATCATACAAGGACTGGAGCCATGACACACGAAAGCAAAGGGAATATACCTTGAGAAACTCTTGAGTGAAAGGCTAACTGTTCTTACTTTCCACCCATGCACATCCTGAAATGAAACTCAAAATCCCACCGCACGCAGAAGTCAGCATGGGTCCTCAAAGTGCTATTGTCTAGTCTTTGTTCTCCTTACTTTCGTGGCTTTATTTTTATTCACTCCTTGTGCCTGTGTGGATTTTTATAGTCAGAGGTCATTAGTTTTTTATTTGATATAAAAATTCCTGAATCCCTTCTGGGATACCATATGCATTTTCACCAGGAGTAAAACTCAATGTGCATAATTTCCAAATAGACCTTGTTTGTCTAACACTTCACATCAAAGACATGAATGAGGAATATCAAGTCATTCATGAAATCAGATGTTTAATGTTAAATTGCACATAACCCTATCAATAGAGTTTTTGTCACAACTGAGATCATGCCAATTCATGATTTACCAACAGAACCTGAATGCACTGAAAATGTCAACCGAATTATTTACAAGTTAAATAAAAGGAAATTCTGCTTTCTACTGGAGATCACTCCTACATTTGAGTAACCCCCGACGGGGTTAGGAAAACCAAGTAAAAGAATGAACAGCTGAAGAAAGATGTAAACCCTTTGCCCTGAAAGGAGTGAAGGAAGGGAGACTTCAAGAATATGGATGCTATAGTGCAGAATGGAAATTATCAGCACAAAGGAGTGGTATAGCCAAGTAGAAGCAAGGAGGAAGTCCAATATCATCACAGCATACAGACAAAAATCCTCTAAATTATTTGACAACCTATCAGACTAGGATGTATGGCATATGGGCACAACATATTATATTGGGAATCACTGCTACTATTTCCTCTCTCCCCCCCCCCCCCCCCCTCTCTGAGATATCACATCTTCTAGATTTGGATAAAAATTTAAAAAAGAATAATAAATAAATGCAGTAAACAGCCCAGGAGGCACAAACCAGCACTAGCATCAAGCAAGGACCTTCTGAAGAACTGCCTATATCTGGAAGTCATCCATCCATACTATGAGAGGGGAGTGTGTGCTTCATATTGCTTGCACTGGATATCCATGTTGGCTCAGTTGGTGGGGTGGAATTCAAGTGAGGAGCATTATGGAAGGGAAGAAGGGCTGGCCTGCTTGTGAGATTCTTCCCGAAGAGCAAAGAGCAGGTTCAATGCCAGCAATGATAGTCCCTTGTCAAGAGGGTCCATGAATCCACGCTGAAGCCACTTGGGGATTGTGGTTCTAGCATGTGCAAAACCAAGTTTCTGCAAAATGTAATCCACTCCATATGGCTCAATGTGCTTCCCTCCCCATGACATCAGCCTGTGTGAAGGTTCCATTCTACATACAATCTGGAAGAGAGTCTGAAGAAAGCAGGATGAGATCTGCGGATTACCTGACGGTGGGCTCGAGGTGCCAGGTCTTGCAGAGAAACTCCCTGTAATCTTTCTGGAGTATCTCAATTGGATCTGAGACTCGAGTGGACTTCTTGCGACCCTTCTCTCTTTCTGTCTCACCAGGACTCTGTGAAGGACTCTCAACATTCCCTTGTTGCTGCTACAAAATGAAGATGCAAATGCTGATGGGATCAAAAACAAAACAAAAGCAGAAGACAACACTTCAAGTAACACTGTACCTTATCACTGTCCTTGACATAAGATGTGACGACATCATGGAGGAAAAACAAGCCCTCAGCATCCACAGTCACATAAATATGATTGTTGAACACAGTAACAAAGCTGCAATTCACCAGTGCTTTTGCATCTGTGACAACATGAAAGTGGCTCTCAAATCTCAATTCCTTAATGGATTGTTGAACTAGACCACTGCTGAGGAGGAAAAGGAATCCAGACCATCAATAGAAGGTTCTTTGCCAGCCTGATGATGCTCAGTTTTCAGGTCCATCTGGAGACCAGGGAAGGCAAAGATGACTTCAGTTGTATGATTGTTATCTTGCAGTTTCATGGAGCTACGCTTCTCCTCATCCCCAAAATATGGGAACCGATCCACATCTGGAAAAGGAAAAGACATGCTGGTCTATATCTTTTATCATGAAGGATTTCAAAACCCAGGGGCATAGAAAATGAATGTCTCACCATCTAATTCACTTGTTGCAAATGCATAGTGGAACCACTCGTGCAGTGTCTTGAACTGCGGTGGAAACATGACAGAGCGAGAAATGCGACACACTGTTGCCATGTTTCCATGGATGGCCTGTTCTTGACCTCCCAAGGAGAAGGCCAGATGTTGAACTATGTGCACTGCCTTGGGATCTGAATAAAAGCAAGAGGAACTGAGCAACCTCACAAGCAAAGTAGACAATGAACAAGAGGAAAGACGGACAGAAAACAAACCATCACACTGGAGGTCTTGGGCCTCAGTCATGAAGCTGATGAAAGGATCCTTGAGGGAGAAGAGAGCCCAGGATTTTGACCTGAGATTGATGCCATGGAAGCAGGCCAAGGAAATATGCTTCCCTCGCATCTCAACAGTGCCACCAAGGACAGTGAACTTCTGTGGTAGGGCATCCCTCAAAGTTGGCAGCTTCAAGCCACTCACCAGATGTAAAGCTGGCTGCCAGTGTCTGTGATGCCCCATCGATTCGCGCCCCACTGTCACACAGTCCATAATTGTCCAACATTATTGTAGCATTATTTACCAAGACATAAGAGAGGGAATGTGGAACAAACCATCTGTGGTTTTTCTTCGTGGGTGCCTTGGAGGCAAATGAGAGGCCCTGGAAGAGCTGCGACTGAGTCCTCCACCTTGGAGCGAAGAAAACACACGCCTCCCTGAGTGCAGCTGTTGAGAGAAGAACTCCTCCAGTTTGCCATACATCCTCATGAGATCTGTGGCTGTGCTTTGCGTAAAGAGTAGCTGGAGCTGATCCCAGCTCAGGTCTCCATACAAATGTATTGCAGCTGGCCTGGGGAAAGGGAAAAAAAAGCATTCTCATTAGATCATACTCACTGCTGAGAAAGAGATTTGAGAACTGCCAAAAAAACCTGTCAGTGGGTGCAGGTGAGGAAACAGCCTCAAGTCTCCATTCATCATTCACCCTGGCCTGAAGAGAGGAAACACGACCCATTAGGATGCTTGTTCCCATGCAGTCTAGTCTTGCTTCCAAGGCTTCCAGTTTCAGCCCCAATATGTGATCTGGTGTTGTTCCTGGGTCCTCCCTAATCTTCACTGTACAAAAAAATTTTGAAAATGAGCCTTCTCTGAAAGAATGAAAGATAGTGTCATAAAATTCTGTGATGGGACATACGATATGTGTCGATCTGAGAGAGGTCTATGTTGCCACCAACAATGCCTCCCTTGGCTTCCAAGTTGGAACTTTGCAGACCCAGTCCCAGATGCATGTTCTTGTGTCCTGTGCTCCCAATACTTAGTCGTCCTTCCGCACAGAAGCCTCGTGTGAGCCAACTGTCTCAATCACCAGTAAAAAGAATTAATTGATATTTAACATTATACCCAGGGAAAAAGCTAAGAAATATTGAAAAGGGAGACCCACATGACATTCCCCATCACATTACTCATGTTCATCTGGACATTGAGTTTGGTGAAATTCACAGCAAAGAGGACAAGGGTCTCCCAGGCAGGGGCTGCTGTTGCCCTATTTCCTCCGGCCTCAGGTGTGATTGGCAGAAACAGAGACATTCCTTGAAATTATGGAGGAAACATCTCAGCACAGAATGTGGACAGGGAAATCAAAGGAAAAAATCTAAAATTGCACTGACCCTTAGCTGTTCCTCGACGAGTGGATAGGTACTGTGCATTGGGTAGTGGTTCGTCAGACCTCTGACATGCCTTACCTTCGTATTTCACTCTGCATGGAAAGAGAGATATAATTGAATTCTTAGATATTACTAACTCCTGAAGATTTTTTGTTATTGTGACCAACCCAATGGATGAAGCAGAAGCACCACTATCCCTGCTGGTAGCAACAGACGAGTCTTCTCTGGCTGTGGTTGTCATGTCTCCAAGAAACATACGTCTCACAATGCTTCTCCTGTACCATGCCTTAGGAAAGGCCAGGATCTCTGTCAGCCGTCGCATATCATATTTAAATGATGCACTCCCAATGTCCACCATTGCTGTAAAAAGCAATATGTCAGTAAGATGTGGCATGGCTACAGCTCATAATGAAAGAATCTGAAGAGAACTTACTGGAGAATCTCACAATGGCTGTGTTGGTCTTGCCCTCAGCTTTGGGGGAGTTAAACTTGCGGGAACGAGAGATGTGAAACTTAACAAATTCAACCTGGACACTGAGAGAGTCCTTGCGGTCAGCTGGCTGGCCTGGAGATGACTCATTCATGCTGGAATCTTGCAAGGCTGACATGAAGTCAAGGAAGAAACAAGTGATAGCACTTAGAAAAATGACAGGCTCTTCCACAGAGGCACTATATACTAACCAGTCTTTTTGCTGCCACCATATGGATGGAAAATGTATAAAGAAAAATCTGCCAAACATCCTGTTACACTCAGACCTCCAGAGGCAGACTGAGTATCATTCAACTGCTGCTGCTTTCCTCCTCCTCTGTAAAGATGAGTACCATTATTATTCATTACTAAGCCTGAATGCAGAATTTCATTGATCTATTGCCTTTGACAAACCTGTTGAGTTCATCCTCTGCTCTTTTAGAAGAAAATACAAGATCCAAAGAGGGAAGCTTCAGCAGACACTCCACTTTGGAAACAGGAAGACATGAAAAACGAAAGGTGGAAGGTTGCATGTGGAAGAAGACCATCACATCCACGGGGAAGCTTGCATATACATAACTCCCTGCTGACAACCCCACTGACTCTTGGGAGGTCTCCAAGTTGAATGTGCTTTCTGATGCCAAAAGAAAATATTGAATATATCACATTCTCTGGGTCATCATAGCTTGAAATGCAAAGAGAGAAGAAAAATGAACAGTTGTTCATTGCATAGGAAACCTGGAGTGGGTCCAGTTGGGGTCTTGGTCTCAGGTATGGTATAAGGAATTGGTTCCAATGTCTTTTCAAGAAACAGCAAGATGTGTGGGGATATTAAGATCTCCTCTGGAACAGAATGCAGGGAGACCCAGGCAAACACACACGCCTTTTTGTTTGAGACCAATGAGGAACTCAGCCCACTCTTTCGAGCTCCAGATCCTAATGCAGAACTTTCTTCATTCCCACTTCCAGCACTCTGCTCTTCTGATTCTGTTCTCGACTCATAATGCAGCTGAATAGAGATGATTTGTCATTAATAAACAAAGTAATGGAGAAATCTTTTGCATAGATGATTCTCTTTTTCCAATTGAACTCACCTTCACATCAAGGCCAGGAATGAGAAACTCAGTAGAATCTGTTACTTGAGGGGTAAAGGAGAAAGGGTTCTGCTTCAACCGACTCAATGATACATTGTGTCTTGCAGCATCTTTCCTAAGACGGTTTGTCATTGTGGGTGATGAGAGGTCACCAGTCCAGCTTGGATCCTTCTTCAGTCTCAAAAGAGGAAAAGTAGAGAAATTGTCAACTTTCAGTTTCACTTGCAATTCAACCTCACCTACATTTATAAAACAAAATGGACCTACTTTTTCACATCTTCTTCTCTTGTTGGGTCCTTGGAATGCAAAATGCATTTCCCACTGTTGATAAGTACCTTGACATCCAATTCAAAATCAATGTTTGGTTCTGCAACCACCTTCTGGCCCCCAAAGCTATGAACGGAGGCCATATGACCTGAACAGTCATCCGAGGACTGACGTGAACTGAAATCATGATTACATCCCCCATTTAATCAATTTATAAAAACTTCTATCTTTGTCAAATGATCCTTTTCACTGCACAAACCAAGGTTGCTGATGGGATGTCCATCGCCTTTGACTTGGTGACAATTTTGGTGATGAACCTTCTGAAAGACTACCCAGTCCTTCCTCAGAATCATCTTCATCATCAAATTCATGCTCTGTTGCATGACCACTACTGCAAGCTGAGCCTGGTTGTGAGTGCATCCTGATATGACAGAATGAGCATTAGAAGACAGGGCAATACTGAAATTACAAAAATGAGAAAATCTCAATATTGCCTACCTTCTGAGAGAAGACGACAGAGACTTGTGGACAGAAATTTTTGGGACACCTTGAGAACGTTCCTGACTGGGAGAAGAAGATGAACTTGTCTCTCCACTTCTAATTGGACTGAAAAATGGAAGAATGGGATAATTTTAATGCATTTATAAAAAATAAATTTAAGCCCAGGAACCTTCTTACGAGATACTGTGACGACGATTGGGATCAAAGGATGAGGATGTTGAGGGCAGCACGAAGGACTTGGACTTGGAATTGTGTCGGGTTGAGAGGCCAAGTTTATCCTTAATGGATGGGGCTCTGACACTTTGACGTCTCAGCTTGTTGATAAAGTCCCGGCGAAAATCATTGAACATTACTGCTTCCAGTTCTCGAAGCCTCTTTACCTCAGGATCCATGACAGCAGGTGAAGCACCAAGCATTCTCAGATCATTGACAACCTTGGCTTGCTCATTCATTTCATTTTCAAGAAGCTTTGACCTCTGTCTGGAATCAATTTTTGGATCAAAGATGAATGAAGGCAAAGTGTCATTCAACCCTCTCTGCTTCTGGGAGAACACAGACTCCTGCAAAAGTTAGAGAAATTCTTAACTATCTGGCACAATAGAATGAAACTCCATGAAAGAGAATTTGAAATGACCATGAGTAACTGAACCAGACCTCTGATGTGGGAAGCTCTCCAATATGGTCTGTGTCATCACTGTCAAAACCAGGACCAGTTGGTTCTGGCTCTTCCTCAACTACTTCTGTGAGAGCAGTGAGGGTCCTGGCTAGTGCAGACAACTCTTTCCCAATGTCTGTATCCACATGAATGTCCACTCCATCCATCTTCCAGCTTACATTCAACACCCATTTAGCATTATCTAAAAATGACAGAAAATTTCATTCTGCTAATCCTTGAAATCTTTGTCAGGCTGGGAGAGAAAGATAAGTCTGACTGACAGAAAATGAATAGCATTTTCACATCTCACCTGTGGGAGAACACTGCTGGGTGACAGTGTGACTGCACACTTCATATGTGCCCTCAGACACAACACAAAGGTTCATGTTATTGGGATCATTTAGATTTGGCTTCCAGTCATCATAGTTCACCTCCAGCTCATCAGCAAAACGAATGCAGAGCCCACTGAACATCCCTTTGCTTGCCAATGAGCCTGCATGAAAATGCATCAAAAGGAGGAACTCATCTTAACCCATTCAATGCCAAGAACTTAGCACTGCCCTACCTGTCAGGGACTGTTATTTACACATAATCACACCTAACTAATTGTTGTATTGATACACTATGAATTTTGAAGCTTTTGGTACATTGGCTGGGTGGTTTGGGAGAAGAGAAGCAAAAAGTAATCATGACTCCATGCTGAGAAAACTCAGCTTTTGCTCTAAGTAGCATAAGCCAAGTCACAGCCACAGAGTCTAAAAGTCTAATGTGGAAGAAACTCGGATGCTTACCAGAACTAAGAGCAGAGATGGAAGTAGATTCTAAGGTGACTATTACTCCTCCTCGAGGTTCTACATCCAGGAATCGTCCAGGTACAAATGGAGTTGGTGCACCCTAGCAACACAAGTATATGGAACAAAGGAGACCATAAAGCTTATTGAAAGATATGGCTTTTTAAAAAATATCCTTCAAATGTGAACTCACAGTTGAGCGCTGATTCAGTGGAAGACAGATTCCCATGTCATCCACATTCAACTGGACAAACAAGGAGCTGGATGGTGGATTCAGCTGAGCCAAATTGGGCATCTTTTCCATCACCTGAACATTTAGTCCATATTCAACTTCTCAGTACTAAGATCAGACTTCCACAATGTTGTTAGAACAACCAACTAAGATGCTCCTGCCTACCTGCTGTGTTGCTGTGAGGACTTCCTTATTTAGAGATGCTCTTTGTTCTGTCCAATATTCGTAAGCATTTCTGTAGTTGAGCCAGACAAGAATGGCTCGGTCTACAGCAATTGGCTGAATGTAGATGAGAGGTCGGTTGAGCGTGATGAGAACCACATCTCTTCCACCAAGTTCTTTTGCAGATTTTGAACCCAGCTCATCTTGAAACATGTTCCTCAGACCTAAATAGTATTTAATGCATCATGCTAATTTTTATACTTACTTCTGGGGTAAGGCACAGACTGGCTGCTCACCTATCCGTGTCTTGAAAAAAGCAAACTGCTGGAATTCAGGCTCAGCCTCTTCAAAGAACACATTGCGGATTAGCTGGCCCAGAGACAAGTTCACTTCCACCTTGGCCCTACAGAAGAGACGCACAGAATCCGAATTCTTGACTCTATTTGATAGGTACAACTCCACGCTTCCTGTCTCTAGTCGCACTGCAGAACTGGTGGGTGTTGTTGCTGTTACTTGGATCCCCTTTTTGAAAAACATGCAAAGAAAAGTTCCTTGTAGACAATAGAATAAAATAGACTGGCATGAAAACCATAGCATTTATCCTGCTAACCTTGATTCTGAGTACAAGTGAGAAAAGGATGCGATGGCGAGAGACCTCTTTCCCTTCTCCATTCCAAAATGAGACTGGACGATCTCCTGCTGTCATCTTCTGCAGCACTTCATTTATTTCCTGCATGGGCACAATGAAATGAGATCAAGAAAATTTTTGAAAGAAAACAGCCATACATTGGACCAATATTGTCCAAAGAGGCCCATGCTCACAGCTAGTATACCTTCATGAAGACTTTCTGAACAAATACAAGGTGGTTGAGGACATCTGTTGTGAGATTGTGTTCCAGGATTCCAATCTCGGCATGTGTGCTGAGGTAATTTCCCCTATGGTACTTCACATCTCCCACTAATGCAATTCAAAGACTGCTTTTGTATTCACATCGACAAATTCATGACTTCCAGGGAGATCATAAACATCAAACTCACAAATTTGCTCTCCCTCTGGAGGAGAATCTTGCACGTATTCAGCTGACACATGCACTTGAGGCAAGGAAATACTTGCTGATGGTGGAAGGTTGCTATCTCTCACCTGCAGGAGACAAGAATTAATTACTGTCCCGGTAAGATCCTGGGGCCATTTTCAATACATTCAATCCAGTCTGAACATTACTACAGCCACCAATCTTTCATCATGCTTCTTTATAAGACTATTACTTATGCTCAGTGCTTACACTATGCGAAGGAAAGCAGTACGTTACCCAACACCAACGCTGAATCAGGTCAAGAGTTTACAGGTGGGTCAAAGGTCTTGCCCTGGAAGGTCTGTGAGGTATTTTGGTAAAACCCAATGACAATGATATTTTCTTCAGTACTTGTCCTTTGACCGAAGCTTAGTCATCATGCGCAGCGGAATTGCAGACAATGAGAGATCGATGGCATCGAATTAAAAGATCGAAAATGTTCCTGTGATACTAATGACAGAAAAATACGTCGGTGTTGTTGTCGGTTAAGAGTGGAACCGAACCAAATGATAGGATATTCAAGGAGGTAGGAAAAGGATCCACATTTCCCTGTGAGTATGAGAAGACATTGCAAAGAAGGGGTCATGGAGTTATGCGATCGCAATTCCCTGTGAGCAGTAAGCTGACTGGTCGATACCTGCTGATGATCTCTTGCATATAATTTCTTTTACTAGGCGCATAAAAAAAAAACGGAAGTCTGAGCTGGAAAAACCTTCCCCTGGCACCTGAGGCTTTGACATGGCGGCATCACCACCGCCCAGGGTAGGAGGATCGCGTGCAGCGTCGGTCAAGGCATAAGCGCAGCGTGGATGGAAAAAGTGGAGGGGCACGGGAACTCAGGAATACTGTTATCGGGAATTTCTGGGCCTTTCCTTTGTTTTTTGCCTTATTTTCTGGAAAAGTGGTAAGGCATGTGCCCCCCTGGCCCCCCCGACGCTACGCCATTGGATCAAGGGACACCTTGAACACTCAACCCGACCCTGCTGACTTGGACCGTGCATGCCCCATCTTTTTACACCTCTTTTATAATAATAAAAAAAATAATTTAATTACAAAAAAAGGGGGTGGCACTTTAAAAATAATGCAGTCGAGGATTCGATACGGCGATTCCAAGTTTTCCAAATACCGCACAATCATACTGGAAAGTACCACCAGTACCTAGGGTGTGCTGTTCAGGCTGTGCACATTAAAAGGGCTAGTCGAGTCGAAACAAAGAAATAAAGCAAAAAGTTACGTCTCCCAGAATCGTGCATGTCATAACTAGGGTATTACCGATGCATCGGCGACCATGGAAATGGCACCAACTGCACCATCGGCAGCTTAGGAAAAACCGATGGCAAAGTCCCTTGCATCCCTACTCCGGCAACAAGGAAGTCCAAAGATAACTCTGGCAGGAGGCGTTTCAAAAACTTCACCTTGTAGAAGCTTAAGTAATGTATGAATTACTTGTATTTCACGGTTGCCCTTGGTGCCGTATTTTTTTGGTCCAGGATAGGCCTAACATGCCTATCCTGGACCACCCAGGCCCACCCCGATGAGCCACCACTGTGGCACGATTAAATCTACGGCTGAGATCTGAGTCGTACGAAAGCATCGGATATACCGCCCCCGACTTATGCTGTCTGTTCCAAGAAAACGCAGGGTTACACCGATTCTGGTCGCTTCCAGGACAGTGGTTCCCAACCTTTTTCTTAATTGCGGCGCACATAGGACACATGAATATTCTGTGGCATACCCAGCTCACCCTTACTTACAGTGCTTCCAATGGGAAACGTGCTTGCTTCGCTGAACGCAGCAATTCGATACGAGAAGGGATTGTCGATAGTGCAACTCTCAGCTCATTTTCCACTGAGAGAAGGCGTTCCCTCCCTCGTTTTAAGTTTTTTTTTTTTTTTAGTTTAAGCTTTTTTTTTTGCCAACTATCAAATCTCACGGCACACATAAGCCTTATTCGCGGCTCACCGGTTGGGAACCACTGTTCTAGGAGACTAAAATCTACAAAAGCCGACGCAGAATTCTCACCCTGCAGCTGACAGCTGCGTCGCGTCGAATCGAATGATGGCACCCTGCAGGTCTTTTCAAAGAATACACAGGGCTGGGGTCTAGCATTTACACTTTCTGACCGAGAAAATCATTATTGTGTCTCATCGGCAAAAATTATACAAGCCTGTGACTCGGCCATTCTTTGCCGCAGCGACAGCGTCAAATTGTATCACTGGGCATCCTGCCACATTTACATTTGTTTTCCAATAATACTCACACGAGCATCTACCTTCCTCCCGCGCACAAAAAACGGAACGGAGATTCAGCGTCGTAAATTTCATAGGTTGGCGTGAAAAAAGTTGATTACAGTGAAAACTGTTGGGTGATGATTTGCTGGCTTTTCCCCTCTCTCAGCACTGGTACCGGCTGATGTGCGTGAGATCTAAACCGGCCATCAGCCCATCGGCCAAAGACCGCCAATAGTAAAGCCCTAGTAGTAACGTGTGGGAACACCGAAAAGGCAAAAGCACTTCTTTGCTCTGAAACATTAAGTAATTCTTCATCATTTTACTTTTTGTGTACCTGGCTAATTTGTTAAGGCTAAGTCTCTTTTGATAAACATGAATTTTTGCCGTGATGTTACATTTTTGTTTTGACTGGATATGCCTTTTCAGTAAGAACACCATGCCATAAAAAGAACCCTGAAAAATTGGAGAGAAAGAAAGGATAGAGAAATAGAAAAATAGGCTAAAGAAAAAACAAATAAAAAAGTTAGATCTAGATAAACAGAAGTGGAACGACATAGAAAATTAAATAGATATATATAAGAAACTATATAGAAAATAGACATATCGTAAGTGGAACAATTATTAAGTACAGTATAAAGAAAAATAAAGATGTACAAAACAACACACACTACCTGGACTTTTGTGGCAAAGCTGAGTGTATGCTGGGCTAGGTCGACAGTGAAGTTGGCCTTGCTTCCTGTCACACCAACACTAGTCACTTTTGTCATTTCATACTGGGCTTGCAGTGATGGAAGCAGGGCTGCCTGAATTTTCAGGGCTTGGAGGATGATGGAGAAATGTACAACGATAGGTTTAAGGAACCCTTGAGACACTGGTGGTGTTTCTACTGGTTCAGGTATGCAAAGGTTGCTGAGGTCAATGTCTTCCATGGTCATTCCTCGAGCCAGTCGGTTTGTGGCCCTCTTCACGCGCAGTTCTTGCAGAGTACTGGAGATCTGTTTGGAGCTCCGAGTCATCATTCCATGAAGAATGACAGGATGCTGCGGGATGTCGATGTCAATGGATGCAAGGTTCATGAGGATAGAGTTTCTCTCTTTCTTGCCAATCCCAATAGTCTTGGGCACTGTATGGCGTCTGAGAGAGTACAAGGACTCCACTTTTCCGATGCCAACCTTCACCACCGTTCTGTCAAAATACATATTTTAACTTGATCCTTGCATATATGAAAGTCTCAATAAAAAAAGAATTGAAAGAAAAAAAGGCTGACTGAAGACTGGGGGGGATGCCTTCAAGGAGAACAATGAATGTGTTGGTCACGTGAGTTGTCAATGAGGATTCGATGATGGAATGCCTAAGCTTGGGTCCATGATTCATTTCTTTGTGGGACAGAGCTGCATTAAGACCATTCATCTGTGCTTCCAATTTCAATCCACTCAATGTTGCCAGGACTCGAACTTGCTCAATGCAAACCACACCAAATACAACTAGTCGAACTTTCTCCTGGCTTCCTGCTTTCAAGGAAAGGGGGAAATGATGTGAGAAATTCATTTTTGTGATGTATTTATACAATCTAATTGAAATAAAACTTTACCCAATGCTGCTATTGACCGACCCAAGTCTTTGGTTTCAACCACTTGAGTTTCAGGAGTGAGCTGCTCTTTTTCTGCTGAATCCACTGCATCCTTGGCATATGAAGCCTTGGATTTGGAACCTAGAAGATGAAAGTTTTTTAGATGGGAAGTCAGATCCAGTAGCCCTGGAACCAAGTTACACTTCAGTATTACCAATTCCTTTAAGAGGAGGTGCCAACTTGACATCAATTCTCTTCTTCAGCTTCACACTGGCATCAAGTCCTTCACTCATGACCCCAATCCTGTAATTAGGTTTGGAGGAAGTGGTGGATTATTGTCCTTCAATATCCCAAAGACTAGAATTTGCTGCAATATATGTTCCTCACCTATTAGTAATAGTTTTTGTTTCAGGAGTAATGGCATAGAGATCCAACAGATGATACAATGTCTTCCAACAAACAGGAACTGTCTGAATGGCCTCTTCCATCAAGGGACTCAGGGAAATTCCTCTACCTTCTCCTGTTTCAAGCAGGCTCTTTAATGACTTTCTAGGATTTTAGACTCAAGTACTCCTATTCACATTTAAACTGATGCAAACCTCGACTTGGTCTCCCTTTGTAGGTTCCACTTTTAAAGGTCTCATATCCATTGGAGTGGGGCATCTCTTCTGCTTCCCTCCAAACTGCAGTGACAGCTGAATCTATTGTGTCTCCATATGGGCAGGATTCCACTTGAGTTGCTCCAGATCCTATAAAATGTGAATGCATTTTCACCATTCCTCAATGGCACCACAATTCAAGAAAGCTGAGCCAAAATTAACATTTTGGAATTACCAGAGGAAGAGTTCTTCTGGTGATGTGGACCATACACACTGGCACGCTTGTGTTTCAGATCCTTCTGCATGTATACCACATTCTGGTACATGCCAGCAATCTGCAGTACCAGCCTCAGGAGAGGCATGTTCACCTAAATAAATTAAGACAAGTTCAATGGAGGGTGGACTTCAAAAATACAATGAGATGATGACCATTCTGACCTGCTGTGAGATGCTTTTCAGTGTAGCAGAAAAATGAAGAACAGTAGAGGTAGCATTCTTGAGCTGATGCTGAGAAACATAGAAAACTGCCTTGGGAACTTTTGCTGGCAGGGATGGTGACTTTTCTGTCACTTTCTTGGCTTCAACTTTCAGGCTGATTCCCTCACAGATAAAAGATGGCATGTCGTTTGGTATCTCAAGGAGGAATGAGGCTGAGATGGAAGCAGATGTCAGTACAATCTATTTAGTCTGTGCACAGGAAAAAAATATTTTCCTATCATGAAAGATGCTCACTAACCTGATTTTTTAGCAGTCCCACCTTTCTCCCTTGAAAGGGCTTCAGCAATATCAGCACGGATGGAATCAAGGGTGCAGGTGACAGAAATATTGCTGCCTAGCTGTGCTAGAGCTCCTTCACTCACTTGCTGCTGTCCCACCCCCAAATATGTAAGGAGAATTTCAAAAACAATATGTGGATCCACCACTTGCAGAAGAGGTGCTGCTGCTGCTGGTAGCTTCTCTGATGCTTCTCCATCACTTTCTCCTCCTTTGGTGCTGTGATTGGAAGTCACTGTATTCCATGGCACATCCTGGAGACCGCCCTGCATGTAAGACTCAGTATCATTGACCTATCACTTACCCAGGAGTAATCACTGCTAATCTATGAGGTAAATTTCACCTGTTCAGCAGCACTTGCACCCTGTTGCTGTTGGTGCTGTTGCTGTTGCTGTCGAGCCAGCCAGCTGTATAGAGTATCATCAGGTAATTCATTATCTGATTGATTTTGGCTTTCCATTGATACTGAATCATGAAGCGAATTTGATTCAATGCTCAGGCGGGAATAGCCCAATGGTCCAGATATGGTGGCACGAGATAGTTTTGGTCCAAAGTGAGGAAGACTAGGTCGAACTTTGGCATCACTGCCAGGACTCTCAAGTGGGTCAGATGCTTTGATGTCTTCTGGCTCCTTGTGTTTGAACAGCGACCCACTTTCAGCTAAGAGGAGCTGAGCATGCTCATCAGTCACATCCAGCTCTGATTTAGGTGAGTCCAGTACCTTGGGGTCTACCTGGATATTGAGATGCAGGCCACATGAAACTCTCAAATTCTACAATTGTTGAAAGGAAATTGAAAGACAGATTTGATGTAAACTCACTCCAAGGGCAAAAATAGGAGAATCATGAATAGTTGGATACAATTGAAGTTTCCTCATCTTGGCAATCCTGAAAGTCTGCTCCCATGCAAGGGGCATATAAAGGAAGTTCTTCCATTGCCGAGTCAGCACCACAATCCCCTGAAATTCCATTCAAACATAATTGTACCAATGCCATTGTTATTGAGGATAATTGATGAGAGACTGAATAAAAATGAAATAACATCTCATCCATAAAAAGCCTCACTTTCTTCAAGGTATCCAAAGTGGGGAGCAGTTGGGGCTGAATGTTGTTCTCAACTTCTGCTAAAGGGACATTCACAGTGTAGCGCCTGAGAACAGTACAAAGCTGGCAACATGGATCTTCCTGCAATGTCTTGGAGATCAGGGAGACAAGGTTGTACTTGCTCTGAGAAAGAGAAATTAAATATATTTTACCCAGGAGTCCTAAATCTATTGCAAAGATGTAAGTTGGTTTGGGTATATGGGGGTGGTGTTCACCTTCTTTGACAAATGGAGCCCTTGACCCTCAAGAGCCTGTGTCATGAGGCATGCCATTATGGAATTCCGCCTTGTTTGCCATCCATAGATGACTGTGTACAAGGCAATGCTATGTCGGTCCAATGGATTCAACCAAGCACTTATGGCTGGTGAGGCAGTACTTAGAAGATTCCAGTCCAACCTGTAAATATTCATACACATTTGAGACAATTTTAAGACAATTTTAATTTTACTGATGTAGTCAGTATACGTGTGTTATCAGGTATGTCTCACTTGTTGAAATCCATCTTCTTGGAGACATTCACAGGTGACCGTGGTGGAGCTGCAAAGTTGAACCAAGTACTTTTGACACTCAAAATACAAGAAACAAAGTCCCCTTTGTGTGGATGCTGTGTCCCAGTGTCCAGTGCCTCATTGGTGAGCGTTGGAGTTCCTCGTGTCTTGGCACTTGGATTTGTGGTGTTCCCTGACACCAATGTGGGACTCTCTGAGCTTCCCACGGGTGATGCTCCTTGAGAGCCTCCTACTGTAATGGAATTCTCTATCATAAAATGCCAAAAAAAATAACACGAATAATGCCATTGGATTTGTAACTACCAGGATTAGGAGAAGCAGTGCTCTTCTTGGCAGAATGGGATGGAGCCTCAGTTTCTATTCGAAGCACCTGAGAGGCTGAATCATCAATGTCATTCAGCACATTCTTCTGTTTAACTACCTCAATGTGCAGCCCTTCAAATCCAGCTTCACACATGATGTAACCAAGAGCTTCCCTCAATGTTTCATCAAACTGAGACAGCTTCTCTTCATTTGAAGCCATCAATTTTGTTCGATACAAGGCATCATATTCATAACTGAAATTCACTTCTGATCTGGAAACAGGAATGGCTGTGATGACAGCTTCATTTAGGATTGAACTGTTGTTGGTGAGCCTCCTTAGTTGACTGTGAACACTAGCTACTCTAATGGAGCCCAGGAATTCCTCCTGCTGCCTTACAGGTGTTTCCAGCAACAATGGTTCATGAATCCCTCTATCAAGGGAGTTGGATTTGTGCTTGGACTTGTGAGGAGTCCTGGATGCACCTTCAGGATAAGGAATGGCTCTCAACATCAGGAGAGTCTTCTCTCCAGAATAAAACTGCAACTTGGTATCAGTGATGCTGACAGCCAACACAGATACACACAACAGGTCTTGGAAGTTATCCAGGGATGAGAATGTGGTCACTGTCTCAACCAGAGATGCCTGAAGCACACTTACATTTATCTGAAAAAGGCAAATTTCCCTTCTCATAATAATGCAAATTAGAAACACCAAGAAAAACACAAGGTAACTTGCCTTGGGCACAACCACAAGTCCTTGGACCTGGGAGACTCTTCTTTCCTCATGGGCATCAAGAACAGAAAAACTCTTGGATTCAGGGGGACTTGTCTGTCCCTTCTTTATCCCTTTCCCTACTACTTCTGTGTGCTTTTGCTGTTGTTGACGAAGAGTCCCCATGAGCTGCACCCAGTTGTTTTCTCTCTGTATGAGTACATTACGAGATTCCACAACTCTTGAGCAATGCATGTGCACAAGATCCAGGACTGCCCAGGGATGGCATTCAGTTAGACTGGGGGTTAGGGCTTCCAGGAACCTATGAAAATAAATCATCAAAACACTTTAGAAATCAACAATAGCCAGTGCTTCACAGGATATGAAATCATTAATGCCACAAACCTTTGCAAGGATTCAAGTGCTAATGGAGAAGTTGTGATGTCAACAGCTGACTTCACTTTGAGTACAATGGTGGTACGTTCCACGCAGTCATCCCCTGCCAAACCAATATCACCATCATGACCCATATCTTCTGGGTTGTCTTTCTGGTGATGGAAGGTCCTATCCTTCCAAGAGAAAATGGGGATATCCCACACATGGAGATGGGATGGGGTTCGAGATGGAAGGGGAGATTCAGGGGATGAGTCATCAGGTCTCATGCAGTGCGGTTTGATGCGGACTCCTGTGAACCCAGATGTGAGGAGAAGGAATTGTGGAATAAGGTCCCCTTTACAAGGACCATGTTCTTTCTGCTGAGCTGATATCAGATACACTCCTGAACTCCCACCCAGATGCACAGGCATCTTGGGAGTCCAGAACTTGCACTGAACCTACACATTAAAAAAAGAAGACATTGACATACATAATTGTTGCTTAGTGGAAGAAGACAGCAAATGACATTTTCCTCAAAATTATATGAAGTATTGTAATGCAGTTTCCAAGGAAGCTGAATTGATAGGCACAAAGCATGAAGTGATATTTTGCCTTTAAAGTGGTTTTGAAGTCAATGCAAAATGCATCCAGAAAATCAGAAACTAAAGCATGCTTTACTTCATTCTCCAGAACATTTTACTTTCATGGATTCTTGTTCTGATGATCAGCTGATGAAATCAACACATTACTCAAATGCAGAAGGATTGGCTTAAACCAAAATGGACAAAACCTCACCTGAGCCAAATGTGTAGTATAGGTTGACATGAGCAAGGGAGAGTCAGTGATCTGCTTATTGACTTGGTTATGAAGTTCAACAAGGTTTAGATCATCTGCTGTGGAAACAGCAGACAGGAATGATGTACTTGACACTGTTGAAGCACTACTGCTTGATCCTCCTTCCTCTTCCTGACATCATGAAAAATCACACGAGATAAGAATGCGGAATTATATTCCTGCAGGTTTAACCATCCTTATTGAAAATCACATACCTTTCCACTCTTGGCTTGCTTGGAAGGCAGAATATCCCGTGAACTCCTCCTTTGCATGTGATTCTTATACAATGACCGAGAGGAGCTTTGCTTGAGACCCCTCTGGGGAGGAATTGTCTGTACTTGATTCCTCACCTCAAATGGGATGTTGGACGCACTCACATATGGGTCCATGCGGCTTGTCAGACTGCCACTTCGGGCATCTGTGTCTGAAGAAAATATTTGCTCCCTGGCTGAAAAGTATGAGGGATCGGATTCACTCCCAAGTGATGTTGTGCGAGCAATTGTTGCATCCCACTGACTGATGGCCTGTGAATTTAACGGCGTGACCACAGTTGGATTCTGACTTCCAATACCAGCTGGAAGACTCATCTGGGATGAGAACTGGGGTCGAGGAGGAGACCCTTCAACTTCTTGGGGAGGATAAATGAAATTGATAAACTCTGAATCTTCTTCTTGGGAAGGTGATTCCCCACTTGAAACAATCACATGAGGGTTGAACACAAGCTGGTTTGGCTGAAGAAGGCTCTGACCGTAGCCCAGATCCTCTTTGACTGCATTCACTCTGAAAAAAATGTGAACTTCTATCATTGATATCTTTGGAGATAGAGTATTTTCTATATATTATATTGTCTCTATCTACATATGCCTACCTGTACTGTGCAACATTTGTGCCACTGGTGAAATCTTGGTCAGAAGGCTTGAAGAAGGTGGGTCCATTTGTGTTGTGACCAAAAAATGCACATCCACCAACACATCCACACTTCCCAACAAGTTCTGAATCCTTACTAGTGGATGGAGCATCCTTTGTGAGCCAAAGAAACCATAGGCGATGACTTCGTCTGTCATGCTTCTCCAGGAAACTGCAATTTAATTTATTTTAAATGATCATAATTCAGATTCAATTGGTATTTCACACCAACTTTATGAAAAATTACATAGTAGATACATGCTACTTCAGGAAGGCCTTACCCACACTGAAGCTTCTGCATATCTCTAGTACCAAAGAGTGATGATGAAAGAGCTGCATCAAGAACAATGGGTCCAAGGCTAACTCGACTGACTTCCAGCCATGTATTTCCTCCTTTGCTCCCACTTGGAAGAAATGTAATCATTAAAAGCACACAAGTTATATCAGTGAGTGATGGAATTGGCCCAAGCAACTCAACAAACTTCATGTCAGATGCAGATGGACGAGTTTGTTCTGGACAAGGTGCAATATACTGCAGTATCTGCACAGCATTGGTCAAGAGAGTAACTCCTGATCGTATCTTAGGGCCATGAAGATTGCAAGTTGCCAATCGGACAGGATACACCTGTGGAAGAAAATCATCTGTCAACTAACTGATTTAAAGCTTTCTTCACACAGATCCCCAATAAAGTATTTAACCTGCAGCTTGATAGCAGTTGCTTTTTCAACAATTGCCACATCGATGATGTCAATGGTGACTCGAGTCATTGCATACTTGATTTCATCTGAAGTTGGACATGGAGGACAATCAGGTAAAGATTCTGGACAATCATCCTGTGGCTTTCCATGATAACACTGCATCTTGAGTGGGACAGGTCGAAGAGAATTTTCTCGATCCATGGCCAAGAAGACCATGGAGTTGAGACCAAATATAACTTGCTGAAGCTGTGAAGTACAAATTCATTCACTGAGTTTTACACATTCTTCTATGAAAAATAAATTCTTCATTGTATTAAACCTGACCTGTGGCAATGACAGTCGACCAATGATTTGACCCAGTTGCACTTCCACAAGCCATCCATACTCCAAAGTTTCTTCTTCCAGTTTCCTCCCTTCATCACTGAAAAGTGCATGCCCACGAAACTGGAAAAAATATTTAAAAACCTCTCTGAATGCATTCACTGCCTGAATAAAGAATCATAAACACAGGTTGCAGTTTTGGTTTAATTCAATTGCAGTCCAACACATCTGATGCCATTATACAAAAGCTTTGAAATAAAACCAAGGTATGAAGATGGGGAATTTTGCAAATACCTAAAAGTTGAGTGAATCTTATTCTTCATCAGGTTATTATTCAAAAGCAGCAACAGAACTCTACTTGCTTTCATAGATGGAGCATATATACCTTTTGCAACTTGCTTTTAGATGGTTTGTATTCATTTTCGGCACCATTCCCCTTGTTTTTCAGAATGGAAGGTGAATATAGGCACAATGCATGGTAAAATCCACATTTTAGCCTAATTTTCGGTGCACAGGAGATGATGTTCGGCCAACTTTCCGAAAGGAATCATCATTTTCAGCATCCTGAATCTGCATTTAAGTATTCCTCTTCATAATTCATTTGTGGAAGAGAAGAAATTGAAGAGTGGCAGCAAAAAAATTCGAGCTGGAAATCAAGTTTACCAACTTTCGATCGGGAAAGCCACCGATGGGAGCTTTTCAGTCGGATCTCTACCACAATAATGAGAGACCGGCGAAATGACAGGAACTTGCTGCACATCTTCAAAAACGGATATCTTTTTGCCAGAAATGCAGTCACTTTTCACTGATACTTCTATAGACATTCTTCAACTATGGAATGCTGAAAATGAAATACAAATCTCTTGCTAGCGGATCCCAATTGACATACAGCACTTTTTCACCGTAAACTCATTTATAGGCTAGAAACGCTAGAGCGTTTCTTGCAGTTTTAAAGGTTTTCATTACTTGAATAATGAAATAGCACTTCCCATTCCCCTCGAATGAATACCACATGATTATCCATGGGGGAAGTCTCAAAACTGCACCTAGGATCCACACTAAAGCACTGAATGCTTTTCATAATGATTGCTACTTTCATTCCCAATTGCTTCAACATACCGTATTTACTCCAGTATAGTGCACCACCGTGTATAAGACGCGCCCCTGCTTTTGAGGTCCCAATTTGTGTAAAAAAAAAGATTCCCCGCGTATAAGGCGCACCCCTCTATTTTGTAGCAAAAAGTGTCGGACAAGGAGATGAATAAGGGGTAAAGCCGGTCTTGAGGTAGGTTGAACCTCATTTCTTATTCACTGTCCTGACCTTTATCGAGGGAGGGGCACAGTATTCCTAACGTTTGTTTTATTATCCGTGAAAACGGATGGAAATACATGGCAAAATAACACAGCTGCAGAGAAATCCATGTGATTCAGGAAGCGAAGGAGCTGGGCATCTGTGCAATAGGTCATAAGAATAACATTGAGGAAAGTTGTATACAGAAGCGGATGGAGGCAAAGGCAAAATTAAGCCCGAGTCTAAAGAATCTCATGGCCTTTCGTGGGGAAAAAGGAATCATTTCCGGTAATCAAGAAGGGAGTGACCGAGGGTGGTGGAGACACAAATCCATACAATTTCAAGAGCAAACGGGATCTCCCATAGAAAATTCAATGCATCATGAGGATGAACGACGCGATTCATAAGCAAGTTGGATTTTCTGTTCATCGGAAAACGTCAGCAGCTTTCCATGAGAAATTATTGTATATGGAACAGCCCCTCGGAGGAGAATGTGAGCTCTGCAAATGAATTTTCCACACCGCCAAACACCTCAGATTCCGATTCCGATACCAAATGAAGTCCGTGAATTGACGTAGCCACTCCCTATTTACTGTTTTATAATTATTATATTTTTCCTGTTCTGACTGACTGCAGACAGTTTCCACCTAAAATTAGTGACCAATGAGTTATAGGTACACTGAATATTTTTTTTCTTGAAAAGAGAATTTTTTCCTTGAGTATAAGATGCACCCCCTCATCGAACACAATAAAATATGCAAAAAAAAAAGCACCTTATACGCGAGTAAATACGGTAATTAGTGTCTTCCATCATCAGAATTTCACAGGAAACTTGCTCATTAATGAATTTCAAACACTGCGGACGATCTCAAGATTCTAGTCGCCGTGTTTCATTTACAGTTTTGCTTCCATAGGAAACGTCGAAAATGACATTTCATTGCCAAAACAGTATGTCTCTGAATGAGATCCAGTTCTCATGGATGAAAATCGATTCTGATTTGCCGAAACTGCTACCACTTTTCACACATATTTCCAATGATATTCTTCACTCGCCAAATGCTGAAAATGAATTGCAAACCATCTAAAAGCAAGTTGCAAAAGGTATATATCAGGGTGTGTCCTCTTGAACATATTTTAAATTAACCAATTGACTTGGTTTAAAAATACTCATTACTGATTTTTGCTCAATGTTTCAGATTAACCCTGTTTTATATTTTACTTCCAAAACCATATTGAGAATAGAGAAATGCTGGAATACAAAACTGATTAGATTATCACATGACAAAATAACTTAATATTTAGGTTATTTCCACATTCAACATTTTTTGCCCATAGGAAGCAACTTCATGGACATCCTCTACATCATTTCAAGAATCAATTCTTAAATGTTGATTTATTGCTAATGAAAACAGTTTCCAACATTTAATTACTCTTCTTGCTTTATATATGTCAAATTCATGTATTGTTGCATGAATCATGAAAAGGATTTATTCATGTTGACTGAATGCTAGAAACTGCTCTTAGCCATAAGAGAGGAAGTAGCAGAATTATACACAGAAAAACCCTGTCTTAGGAGAATATTCCAAGTACTTGCATAGAAAATAGACTCCATTGATTGGCATTAATTTTTCAAGGCATTCAATCTAACTTCAGGACATATATTTGTCAAAGGAACCACAATACTTCATCCATACACTGAATATACACTTTCTTGTATGTAATGAAGAACCAGAAAAGATTTGCTACTTAAGTTTCACCATTAGAGATAGTTTACCTACATCCAATCAATGCTTTGTCAAGAGATAAAATAGATAAAAATCATATATCCTTCATGATAAGGTAGCAGTTCAGATCATATGACTGACTTGCAAAGCAGAAAGAAGCATGAGACCCTGTTGCAAGTGTGCATGTGGTTGAGGGCGTTTGATACTGTCCCATGCCTGCATGATAACAGGCGAAAGGTTCACCTGAATTTTTGTCTCATGATATGACTTGTGTAATTCCACCACAAGCTGTTCCATGGACAGCAGAGGGCAAGGGGGCCCTTGAGGAGTACATTCCTACAGGGAAAAAATAGGAGATTCTTCCCTAAGTTGAAACTGAATGCAGAAGCATTACTATGAATAAGCATGGGGCAAGAAAACACTTACCGTAAGAAGGGCACCTTGTATGTCATGCATAATGACACAGACAGTTACTGTGAAAGGACGGAACTTCCGAGGGTCAAACTGTGAACTGCTTTGTTCAGATGACACTCTCTCAAAGGTAGAGAGTTTACTTTTTGACTTCTTGCCCAACAACTCTTCTTCTCCCTCATATTCAGCATGACTACCTTTATTCTTCCAGCTATCTTCCATGTCTTGGAAAACTTGACTTTCTCCAAAGTAATTTTCCTGCATTTATAAAAATACAGAAGTCAATTAGGTGAACCACTACACATGACAAAGAGATTGAGGATGAGCAGCTCATTTCCAACCTTGATATACCAAAGTGCCCTAAACAAGGTTCCATATAGACAGAAATTTGAAGGGCCAATTTCAAATTCCACATCAAACACATCAGGATCAAGCGTGGAGGGATCAAATTTTTCTGATTCCTTTCCCTGGACAAAAGAACCCTCTACTCCAAGATTAGTGGCTGGAGCTCGAATAGGAGAGAGGAGATATTCTTCTTGCTCAGGAGTAGAAAGGCTGAAGTAATGCTGAGGGTCCACATGAGGCATAGGGTGATAGGTGAAAGTCATGCTCAGAGCAGCTATAGGTACCCAACCCATGTCCACCCACCCATTCCTAAACACAAATGCAGAAGACAGGCAAAATATTGACCTGGAGCTAAGCATCAAGTGAATTCCTGTCTAAGAGAAGACCCTCACTCAGCAAGGCAAAAATGTCTCCAACGATGCACCTTCTCCTCTGGAACAAAGGGAGTGCCATCTCGTCCTATCAGCTTTGCACTCTTGTGCAGAGCAAGGACAACATCATGGGATGTATAAATCTCTGGTAAGTAGGAAGACAGAGTCAGGTTTTCTCCTTGGAGCCACATCTTCAGTGGGACAGTCTTAGGAAGGAACTCATTGAATGGCATGGTCAATGAAAAATCCAGGAGGTCTCCACATACTCCAGCTTCAACTAGATTATGGAGAAGATTTTATGAATTTGCCATCCATATGAGAAGTTTCAAAAGCCATGAAATAAAATCAGTTGATTGACAGACCATTCTCTGGGATTTGGGAAGAACAATCAATCCAATTGTGCTGACTGCATGGGAGAATCAATTCAAATTGCTTCAATATGCACTCCAGGACCCAAGTGTAAGGAACAAAGTGCAGGATATCAGGCTTGTTAGGAGTGGCCCAACAAGATTTCCCTGAACTTGACCAATCTTCTATCATATCTACAATAAACCATGATTTTGGAGGAATGCCATGTCAATTCACAAACTGACACACACAAGAAGTAATGGGCAAGAGAACCTAACCTTGGAAAAAAACTTTATGTGCAAAAATGAGGTGAGCTGTAGCCTTGCAAGCAGTGAAAGTTGTTTTCCAGTGCTGCTCATGGTTCCAGCAGAGGGGAGTATGCATGCTGACATCAAACTCCAGGGTTTCACACTCCAGAATTTTTCGAAACTGTAAAATAAGGGAATAATGGCAGTTTTGGTAATAAGTCATGATAACACTGCCATAATGGAAAAAAAGAAGCTGCAGCTCACAAGCAAACTTGTTGTTGAGTCTAGATGAAGAAACTGTCCATTGATCTTGGTAGTGTAACCATTAGCCTCAATAACCCATGGAATGGTCATGTCCAGGTATGTTCCTGCACCAACTTGCACATGAACTGCTTGGGTTTCCTGAAGCCATGAGAAGGAACATCATTTTATCATTTTGAAGAATAGCATCAACCTTCCAGAAAGGGACTGTCTGTTGGGACAGAAATGAAACCTTTTGCTTTGAGAAAAGTATGTCAATTGTGGACTGCTCCAGAAGAGAAATATGAAATTCAAAAGCAGCTGGTTGTCTCTTTTGACCTGCACAAAGTGGAGGTGTTGGTGTCTGAGTTCCATAACTGCTAGGGAAGAAGAATTTCATCAGCTGATCACGTTGTCGATCAGCCCATGGCCCATAACTGATATCCGTGTTTTTCCCACACTGTTAGAGGAACCAAATAGTCAAAGTGAGACAATAGAATCATTCTAGACATTGGATAAACCTACTGCATTATGAATGAGATACCTTCAAGTCAATGCCCCACACAGGTAAAGTATCTGTGCCATGTGGAGGAGAATCTTCATCTCCATCTTCTTTTTGTGCCTCTAGATTGCTTCCTTCAGATGATGTGGGTACAACCCCTGGAAAGATAAAAAAAAAAAAAGTTCAATGTAAAAAAATTGGCAGCTACTAATGTGAGCCAAAGACTGACATGAAACCAAGACTTTAAAATTTTCATTATTGATACAAGAGCTGTTCAATCAAAAATCCACTGGAAATGTTTAAAATATGCTTTCATTGATTGGAGAAGTGCACCAATTTAGATCCCCACAATGAAGTCCTTATCCTTTGCTATGACTGAATTTCATTGCTGCAGTAGCTTTGGAGTGGCTTGAGCAATGTTTGCATTGTTAATGTCTCTTACATACTTGTCCATAGCTGCACTGAGGGCTTTTAGGTCAAGGTATTATGAAACAAGGGGTTCTTTGATCAAAGTGATTAAGTCAAAATTAAGGGATTCAGATCTACACCATAGGCTGAGTGGGGCAGCATTTTCCACCAATATGCTTGTGAATGAATTTTGTGTGAATGCCAGCCTTGTGAGAGTTGGTATTCTCATGCAGGATAATTGGGGTGTTTTTGAGCAGCTGGGGTTGCTTTTTTCCAGATTGCTAGCTTTCTACTACAGAAATGTCCTATAATATTCTTTGTTGACTCTTTGTCAAACAGGCTCAAATGTCCCTCAATAAATAATTTATTGAATCAAGAAAAATAGAAAATGAGTGCTCAGATTTTCAGGCATTGTTGCCCAAATATATCTTTTTCTTACTGCATTTCATCCTGATAGCTTCTTGACAATGCTGGAAAAAAAAATTACTCAGCATTATTCATTGAATGACCCTCATATTTGAACAATCCCACCTGGCTCATCCCAGTAGTAGTAGACCTGAACTGAGGATGAGGAGAGAACAACAAATCCCTCTCCCATAAAACGTGGTGGTTCATCTGTGGGTCCAGTATACTTTGGACTTGGAGACAACAAGATCTATAAAAATTAAGAAAGCCAAAAGGATTGACATACTGGTCAGATGATGAGGACATCACAAGTATCTGGTACTTCAAATGGAACTCTCACCTTGAAACCTTCCCCATGACCTTTCAATGTATGCATATACAGATCAAGAGGAGAATGAGAAGGTTTGCTGGAATACACCAACTTCAACTCTTCAGCAAACAAGGACAGTGTTGTTGGCAGCAAACGATTCCCAAACACTACTCGACTCTGAAAAAAAATTTAAATGTCACCTTGCACTATCGACAATAGGGCAATAATGGGAGCTTATCCTTCACTAACTGAGAAGAGCTCTAATTTGATGACAGGGAGAAAATCTCTCCATCGATGCCACATGGAGTGTGCAATGCCCTCAGTACGGTCTTCATCTTCCCCATCAGGAACATCAATGACAGCTTTTTCCTCATCAGCTTCTGCAGCATTATGTCTATGTCTCCTATGTCTTCTCTGAGCACATGTCCCCCAGGAGCCCAGCTGGTGAAGTCTCTGCAGAACCATCTTCCAAATGCTTCTATCTTTTTGAGTAGGAAGTAGCAGAGAGTCCAAACCAAACTTCTGCTCTAGTTCACTGTAGAGGTTACTTCGATTGTAGATGTGAAACTCCATGCCATTCATCACAAGATCCAAACGGGAATCCAACTTTGTCATATCTGGAATGAAAATATGCAGAGATTTTCAGATGAAGAATATAAACTCTTTTCCTTATCAATGTAAAGAATACATACATAGAATTGTTTGAAATGCATCAGAGTCCAAAGAATTTGCTTCTTTGTGATGCACCATATTAAAAAATTTAGTGCATTTGACTTCATGATATTCATGTTTCAAAGAAACAAATTATTTTTCAATAAATAAATAAATAATAACCTTTTAGCAACAATATTCAGTCGTTTCTGGACAATTTACAAGCAAAGAGAGTCATTGAAAGGCACAAAAAGAGGTCACAAAATCTTCACTTGGGCCATGACTTTTGTTCCCTTGCAAATTATGCAAAAATTATGCAAAAAATAAAATGACCTCTATAGTAGCAATTAGAGTTGAGTAACCCAAGTAGCATGGGATCATCCCATGTTCCACAACAGACATCCCATGGACACATGAGGAATTTGGCATATGGGACATCAGTATTCCTCACCTTTCAGGATTTCCTCTGCTATAAATTTGCCTCATATATAAAATTAGCACATGTTACCCTACTTCTATCTTATTAAATAGGACCAAAACATCTTTACAAGAACCATGGAGCTTTATTGTTTGATATCTATAGTAATGAGCTACTTATTCTTATGCTGCATTTGTAAAGGTCCTAATAATACAGATGTTATAATGATTTCTGAAAGTCTCACCTTCATGCATGACTTTTGGTTCATATGACTTCCACCATTTGAAAATGATCCAGCCATCCAGGATTCTAACACTGAAGTCTGGTGTTATATAGATGAAATTGCGGAACATCAGCTTTCCACTCAATGTTGAGAGAGAAACAGATCCTGGGGACAAGAAATGAGCTAATAAAAAAATGCCACTAAAATTTTTTTTGCAAAAATGAAAAACCATCATATGAGTAATGCAGGTCACCCAATCTTCATGTATATATAATTACTCTGACCATTACAAATACCTGTCATAAAAAGTTCACAGTACCTAAATCCCCTGTCATTGGCAATTCACCTCCATCCTCCACCTCATGCATATTCTCTGGCCCTATATCATGTATGCAATTTCATCAATAGAGTGGGGTAAAGAATAGTTTTCCCTTTTTCAATTGATTGCTACATCCATATTAATGAAGATGTGCTCATGAAACTTGGAGAATAAATATTAACACTTTTTTATGATCTAATCCAGAGACTCTCAAACTTTCTGGGTCATAACCCTGTCTCATGGGGACAAAAAGCTCATGACCCTCAATTTTCAGGTTCCTGAAGCTAAAGAGAAATTGAATACAAATCACCTGAAGAAAAGGGATTATTTCATTTCTCCGATTCCCCTCCACCTTTCAACCACCTTGGGTGTCATGACTCACCTGATCTAATTAGATTTATTTCATCAAAGAAACAACTAATAGTCCTAAAACAATAACTTTTTAACATCATGAGATAATAAAACTGCATCTGCTTACACAGTAATTGTAATACACAGTAATAGCATGCTATAATAAACAACCTTAATTTCTAACTTTTTTTTTTTAAAAAAGAAGAGTAATTTAAAAGCTTAGATAGCAACTACCATAAATAAATTTAGAATTTGGATTTTCCCCAGGCTACCTGCAATTTCATTGCAGACAGCCTTGCCAACAATTGCTCAAGCCACTGCTTAAAGAATGTCCATCTAAGCATACGAAAGAAAATAATTGGCAAAAATGCGTAATTTTTTACCTAGTGCCACAAAAAATATTATGTAAAATCTATTGGTTATATTTTCTTGGAATAAATAGCATTCAATCAAAAAGAATAGTGCCCTTTGTCCACCAAATTGTATGAGTACATCTTAATTAGTACAAATTAGCAATTTAATAAAAAGGGTTACCTTTTTGTTACTCACTCTTAACATGAAGAGTAATAACTCTCAAGAAAAATGGCTTGCTAGCATATCAGTTAGGAAGCTGTACCACTGGTTTGTTATATTTTCAAGTTTAACTGACCCAAGATTTGAAAATGATTACCATGAATATCAAAATAATTCTCACTCTTTCAGCCATACTCTGAAAGAGTCTAGCTCCAATTATTCAAGGTAAAGAGATTTCATGGGCATTGACCTGCATTGCAAATGGAGTCATGGCAGCTTGAGACCATGGCCCTATTGAGTAGTTAAAACAGTTTAAGAAAAAATTAATAATAGGCATTGGAACCAGATAAGGAATGCAACCACATTTTTAGTGAATTTTACTTGATTCATGCCCTTGATAGAGGCTTGCAGGTTAAATTTCACTCACCTACTTGAACCTCGATACCTCGACCTACAAATCGAGCCAAGATATGAGTGATGATGATCCCCATGATCCTTGAATTGTAGTATATGAGATATATGGTCCAAATAATTGCGCACAACAGCGATGTCAGCAGCAGGATAAAGTTGCTGTCCATCGTGAGATCCTCGAGGTTGATCCTATAGATAATACAAGGAGGAAATTATTTTTCTACAGCAATTTGCAGGTGACAGTTATAACCAGTACCAGATGTATTAATACATATTTCTATTAAACTTTATAACTTTCATTTAAAAATGCACTCCACTGCTTTTAAAATGGAAATGTCCATCTGGTGTCACAAAATAAGCCAATAATACAAGAAAGAAATCTGAATTCACTCTGAATACATACATTTTTAATCAATATGGAGCCTCTTACCCAGTGGTATTCCATCGTGATGATGTTGCTGTTTCACTGTCCATGCTTGGTGTCATATTTGAAAGTTCTCAGGCCCCACAGACCTTAAGGTCTGATGAGAGTTTATTCTGACTTTACTAGTTTCATGACAAGAAGCAATGACATTTAGCCTACTGAATAGGCTCTTTAGTCATTTCTCAGAGTCATCATCTAAGTCATACCCATATCTTCTCTTCTCTTCCTCCAAACACTTCAGCAAACAAGTACTCCCATAGGGGCTGATTCCTTTCAAAAAGAACAAAGCAAGATATAATTTCTGAAGGCCTGTTAACATCTCTAGAAGGTATTGACAAAATGAACACCTTTCAGCTAGTTAAGTATTGAGTTCAAGGGGGTGACTACTTGAGTATAGAATAAGTTTAGGCTATGAATAAAGGCCATATAACCTGGAGATAGACAAATTAGTCCACCTTCACTATAAATTAAAGATAATAAATATGAGAAATAATATGCTTTTAGTTACCTAAAATGGTAGGTAGTTAGGAATTAATTATTTAAAGCAAATCTATAGAATGAATTGTTGAATGCTTTCAAATAGAAAAAAATTTAATTATTTTCACAGAATGACATGACAGAGTACTTTTCAAAGAGGTTGAAAATTACACTTTCAATTTATTTTGGGAGGCACCTTTTAAGTTTGTATTATCTCACCAATTGCCATGGCCTAAGGGTGGTCATGAGACAAGCAGCCCACGTTGTCCTAAAAACTAAGATTTTTGTGGTATCTAGAGTTATGCAACAATGCCCTTCCCTATGATTAGAAGAGGTGGTAGCATTCCTTCTTTGAAAGCACTCATCCCCTTTATGCTGCTGGTGTGACACAAGTACCAGCATTGATGAGGCAATAGGTCTTGATTGCTTCTAGATAGTTGCTATAACTAGAGCTGCCTTAGATCCATTTATATCCTGGATAACAGCTACTTTTCTCTTCACACTTCTACAACTTGCCCCTCTTATGATATAGCTGGCAGTCCAATGGCTTATGACTCAAACATCAATATTGAAAATTGTGAGTTTGACCCCTTCTCACAGTCTCACTTCATTTTGTTTTCATTATTCTTTCACTTCAACTAAGTTTAAAGCAGTCAGGAAGCTCAATGGTTGGATGCGATTTTAAAAAAGTCCTGCTTCTGTGGAACTCCAAAATAGCTCAGTATGTGGGGGGTGGCCCTGAATATAGCCCAGTAGCTTGCTTGCTTCATCTTATCAGCTCTTTCACCAGCAGGTTTTCAGACACGTAACAAGATGCATACTACAATTTTTTAGGGACATTAGTGGAGGGGTTAAAATCCCAAAAACTGTGTACACATTGGACTCTCACATTGACTCAGTGATGGTTTTGCTTCACATTTTTTATCCTCTTTTGCCCAATACTTTCAAATGTCTTCCTCACCTTCTCTCTGATGGTTTCTATCACCAATCAAAAAATTTATTCAACTCATCCCTACTTCCTCATATACAGCCATCCAATATAACCCCTTTAGTGGGTATGATGTATACATCTGTCGTGGCTCCTCGGGGGGGGGGGGGTTTGGCATATTTTTTTTGTCCAGTTATATTTCAAGTTTGAATTAAATAGGAATTCAAAACTTGAAATAGGAATATAAACATGAGAAAGGGTGGTACATTTCTTACACAAACATGAATTGTTATTCTCATGAAGAGAGTTTCTGACTCTGGTGGTGGGCTTGTCTGAGAAATTCTCTACTCAAGGGGTTGATGATAATATATATTCAGGATCAAAGGAGCTTGTAGCTGCCAGCATTTCAAACTGAAGGAATAAATGTTAAAATGGTTGAAGACTCCGTTCCCTAGTGTTTTTCAATCGTGATCACTTTTCCTCTGATGCCAGCACACCCAAAGCAGGCCAACCCCAGGCCAGTCATAAGAAAATTATCCCTGCTTCTACTTCTACTTCAAGCATGAATTAAGCCCATTTTTCAGAGAACTTAGCCTAAATTTAGGACCTAGACCTACGCTAACGGCAGGTTAAGTCCAAGTTAGTGTAAGGCTACTTCTCTGAGTTGGCACGGGTTTTCAGCAAATAACACATAGTGTGTATGTGCATACACGCTTATACTCTGCGCATAACTGACCCCTAAAACCTAGTTCAGGTTAAAGCTGACAGAGCTGACCCAGCCTGGATTGGCCCTTGCTTACGGTGACTACCAACAATATAGGCCTATGATAAGCCAAGGCATATGAAGCGAGAGCATGGAACCCCCTGTGAGCCGCCATGCAATCGAAATTCCTCCATCGTCTGCTCCAGAAGACGCGCGCAAACTGAATGCAATTTTTGGGTTTGTCAATCGAATTGGAGACTTATATGGGCCAGTTTTGACAGACCTGGCGCGATCTGCCCCCTCCCGATTGCCAACTGAACTTCACCTCTTCACCCAATCGAACTGGGATCATGCCAAACCCTGTCACCACACACTATCCAGGCATGTATGCAGGACCGGCCCTAGCCATTTCGGCGCCCTGTCCAAAGAGACTCCCAACGCCCCCCATTTGAATTTACTTCAATATTATGAAACTCATCATTAACTTAAAAAGACCCCCCCCCCCCCCCCCCCCCCCCCCATCAGAATAAAGAAGAGTCTACACCTAGCGTTCAAAACGACGTCGAAATGGAGGGCATTTCCACTTTCTGAAGTAAAACTGAAGGTAGCATCCATTCTTGCTTCGTCCATTCTGCCACGTTTTGGCGTCCCTGATGAATTTGCGCCCTGTGCGGGGGCACATGCCTAAGGCCGGCCCTGCATGTATGCAGCCAAATATAAAGACCCTTCGGCGTTGTCAGAGTAAAACCTTGTGGTAAGTTAATGATGTGGCCTATAGTGCTCTGCTGCAACCGTTCCTCCGTCGGGGCTAATCATTGTGTTCTCCAAGGGCACGTTTTTAAGTTCGCATGAGCCAAGAAACAGCCGGATATCACTGACATGGAGAAAACAGGACTTACAAGACCTTTAAACAATTGAAGTGTTTGATGGCAAGTTAGCTGAGCCTAGAGAGTCACCGTCTCTCTCAGAGTTTTACCGTGCCATCGTTTCATGCTTTATTTAGAATGTTTACCAGCGATTCGTGGAAGACTTCACTCAACTTCAGTAACTTGAGTTTTCGAAACATGAATTTCCAAGGGCAGCTGCATATCGTAGGGGGGGGGGGGGGGGGACATGCCCACCACTTTTTCCATCCACGTTGCGCTTATACCCGAGGGTTATGGTTCACTGGACGATGTGGACTGTTTTCCGCCGTGAAGCCATGCCTTGGTGCCTCAAGAATCGCTTGGCGAAGTGAGAGGGAAATCAATCATATTTCAGGTATCAGTGACACGAAAAACGGGAGAGATGAGCTTTGCTTTTAGGTTCTTCTGAATGCTGCTCACTCATAAATCGGGAATATTGTCGAATAGTAGCAAATTGTAGTAATAAAAAAGCCGTCAATTGATGAAACTTAAGTTAATGATGAGTTTCATAATATTGAAGTAAATTCAAATGGGGGGCAGAGGACACGGCAATGACACCCTGGAAATTCCACTAGTTCACTTCACAATTTCCTTTTTCTGATTATTATTTTGATGGCTTGAAGATGATTTCTATTCGCTGTCTGAATCATCAATGACAATGGTCTTGCTAACAAAGGTTCTCAATCGGCTTGAAAACGCTTTCTCCACATCACGTTGGCTGACGCTGTTCTTCCAGAATTGCAGGCTTTTAGCAGCCATCTTGTTGCACATATGACGGTTGAATACGGTAAAACCAGCGCAAATCCCAAAGGGAACACAGGTCTTGGTCACGTTCGTTCCTTCGCCTTTCCATCTCGGGATGGATTCCTGTTTCCGCATAGTTCACTGTCCGTGAGGTCTTTCGCACTTCTGGAGATTACGAGAATCAGTCAGGGGGAGATAACGAGAGAGACTGATTGCAGGCGCAGCTATTCTGGCATCATTAGTTCATCGATAACGGATTGCAATCGAAGTGAAGTTCATGTTTTATTTATGTACTGAGTGGTTCCTCGGTTAATTACCATGAGAGAGAAGCAGTCACCTCACAAGGGAACCAATTACCAGTTGGAACGAGCGCCTTTTTCCTTACGGAGTGCCTAAACCAGTGGTGCCCAACCCGCGGCCCGCGGGCAAAAAGTGGCCCGCGAGGTGCTTACAAGTGGCCCGCGAAGCCCTAACCCACAATAAATACCCTTAGGTTTCCTTAAAATAGTCTCCTACAATACTAATGACTGGCCCGCGATGGCTGCGGGAGTGAGCTATGTGGCCCCCTAGCCGGAAAAGTTGGGCACCACTGGCCTAAACGGTCCTCTCCTGCCATCCCAGCATGGCGGACAGTTAGTAAACCATGCTATAACGATTTGGAGTTCTGGACTAGCCATACTGAAAGTTGGGGAAAATCGTTGAAGCGCAGAGCTTGCTATTTAGAGCAAGAAGAAAAAATAATGGTATCCAGGCGCCGTCGAGGTATTCAATCCCAAAATCCCGAGGTCACCTGTCCAAACTCAAACTTTTCTTTTTGCTTCACACCAACTTGTAGGCAAAGCAATCGACAAGAATCGAGGGATTGAAGACAACGATCGAGAAAGACATTATTCCCGCAGAATTGTTGCAGAAAGTGTCGTGCGATTCTAGACAGATTCCGAAGGTCGCTCAAAACAGGTTTTATTTTTCAGCGTCTTAGAAATGCATACGAGGTGTGGCCAATATGTTTACGGCCTGACCACGATGTGGTGATTTGCCGACAATTGTTTTATTATGATTTTTCAACGTAGTCACCCTTAAGAATGTTACTGCCCGTCTTAGAGCAATCTTCGTGGAACTCCTCGAACCATCCTTCGGTTTCGCGCTTTGCCACTTATTCATGCTAAAATCTCTTCCCACACAGGCGTTCCATCGCATTTCCGAACGAGTAAAAGCGATTGGGTTCTAAGCCAGACGAAATCAGATGAATGTGGCACTTGTTCGAAGCCAGCTTCGTGAAGGGCCACCTGTGAA